TATATATAAAAATATAATATTCCCCCCAGAAATGGGAACTGAACTCAGGGTTTTGTGCATGCTAGGAAAGCACTCTACCACTGAGCTCCAGCTCTAGATTTTTTTTTTTTTAAAAGGGTCATGCTATGTTTTTCTGGCCAGTTGTGAACTTGTAGGCTTAAGTGATCTTCCTGCCTCAGCTGCCAGGGTAGCTGGGACTACTGGTATATACCATCATGCCTGGCCTAAATTATAGTTTTAAACTAACTGTTTCACAGTTGCAAATTTCTGGTCAGGCACTTAAAAGTTCAGAGTTCTGAACAGCATTTCTAATCAGAATCTGTATTAATAAGTACTTATATGGCCATGCTACTGGAAGAAGGTCCACATCCTAAGTATAAGCATATTAACACTGCTTAGCATGTCTTTTTTTTTTTTTTTCTTTTTTCTTTTTTGAGACAGTGTCTCACTATATAGTTCTGGCTGGCCTTGAACTCACTATGTAGCCCAGGCTGGCCTCGAACTCGTGGCAATCCTCCTGCCTCAGCCTCCCGAGTGCTGGGATTATGGGCGTGCACCATCATGCCCAGGTGCTTGGCATGTCTTTCACATAAATTCTCAGAACACATTCAGCAGCTACAAGAACTATAATTTTCAGGCAGTTCATTGATGCCCCTAAATGAAAAGTATTTCTAAGAAAAAACTTTTGTTCAGAAAAAAGACTCTCTTAAAACTAAGCAGCACATCCTTTTGAAGAGCAGTGTAAAGGAGGGAATGGAACTTCAAAGACAAGGCGAAACTGAACACGCCTCTTCCCTTGCTGTTGCCATCAGGTTTACTTAAAACTACAGCGGGCATTCCCACAGCTTAGGGACCTACGAGTTTCACTGGCATCTTTTACTGTAACCGTGAGGTTTCCCTCTCCTCATCCTACAAGACTCTGGTTTTAGGCTGCCTAGTGGGATGCAGCAAGTGCGGGGCAGGATCACCCAGGCAACGCTAGCAGCGGCCAAGACCTTTCCCAGGTCATGCCCTCTTCAGAGGCCCCTTCCGGGATGACAGGGCCATTGCAGTGTGCAGCAGCTGAGGAGCTACGCTTTAGACACCTCTGGCAGAGAGACAATAAGGTGCGCTTGGGGGGTCACTGCAAGCGTCCCCAGCAGAGCGGGTCTCCACAGGACCCCTGGCCTCCTCCATGCTGGCTAACTTGGGAAGCTGGCAGGCGGCCAGGAACACCACTGGTCTGAGTGCTTGTGTCTGTGCCCAGGATAAGCTGAGCGCCGCAGCACCCCAACCTTCCTTTCCACTAGGATGACTGCCCACCCCAGCAGAGGTGATGGCTTTGGTGACGGTCCTCCCTGACATATCCTCACACCTTCTCTGGTCCAGTGACTGAAGGGAGAACTCTGTCCTAGAGCCCACCAGGATTCCTAGACTTCCTGTTGACAAAAGACATCCATGGACAACCCCAAATGTTAAGTCAGGTACAAATAAGCTACAGGTGCCTTTGGAAGGTACGCTGTAATTTCTTCTTTCTCTTTTTTGGTTTCTGAGACAGGGTCTCATTATGTAGCACAGGCTGGCCTCCAACTCGCAGTGATCCTCCTGGCTCAGCCTCCTGTGTACTGAGAGTACAGGTGTGTGCTACCACGCCCAGCTTTTTAAAAATTAGGCTTTTCTTCCTTTTGCTTCTTTCTCCTTGCCTTGATATTGAGTGATCTACATTTTCTCAGGTACATACAGGCTGAGCAGAAGGGACATCTGAATAGTATTAGTGAGGAGAAGTTGGCCTGATTATTCTTTTTTCCTTTTTTTTTTTTTTTTTGGTTTTTTTTTCTGGTACCAGGAATTGAACTCAGGACCTTGTGCTTGCCAGGCAGGTGCTGCGTCGCTGAGCTAAATCCCCAGCCCCCCCCCCTTTTGTTTTTTTTTTTTTTGAGACAGGGTCTTCCTATGCAGTTCAGGCTGGCCTTGAACTCACTAAGTAGCCCAGGCTGGCCTTCTCCTGCCTCAGTGTCCCCAGTGGCAATTCTCCTGCCTCAGTGTCCTAAGTGCTGAGACTATTGGCGTGTGCCACCATGCCTAGTGGCCTGGTATTAAAGGACACAGGTAAGCCATAAAAAAACCACAGTGGGTTAAAAAGATTTTACACATTATTCTTACTTCATCAAATTCACTTGTCTTTCCTTGTGAGTGAGTCTACTTCTTATTCTATCTTTTCTAAAACGGGCATTTTCTCATCCTAAGACCACTTCCCAGGTACACTGCACCTAATCAGAACACACTCATGATAAAAAACCATAACAATCGTTTCTCTACTTTTAGGTACCACTCTCTAGGACATCAGTTTCTCAAAATTCTAATCAGAAGCTACTGTTCTAGCAAGGTATGAATCAAGAAGTCTTAACATACAGGAAAACGTTACCTAACCACGTAAGGGACAGGTACCTGTGTTACAGTAGCCAATGTTTTCACATTTTTAATCATCATTTTCCCAACATCTGCGGCTACTTTGCAGAAAACCAAGTTGATAATGGTATTCAGATTTTTCTAAATTAATTTGTTAGGAGCCTACCTCAAGGTTAACAAAGGACCAAATGTCCTAAGTATCCCCTGTCTCAGGAATGAAGAACGAAGACAACCAGCAGCTGTGCGGCAGAATTGCCCGCGGGAGCCCACATCCTCTCTGCAGCCACAGAACGTGGCACAGGGGTATTGAAGCCACCGCGGGAAGGACGGCGGCCACGCTCAGAGCTGACTCACCAGAGACAGCCCACCGGGGAGAGCGCAGCACGTTTTGTTCCGGATCCCTCTGACTGCACTGTTAGACAGGTGCTTGCCTGTGCGGTCAGGACCTGTGACCCGCGGCTCGTCATCCTTCCTCCACGCGCGCGTAGCCTCTGTGTGGTCCCTGAGAGCCCCGGCCTAGGGCAATCTCCCCAGGGCCACTGAGCTCTTGGGAGGTCCTGCCCGGAGATAGGACTTTGAGCTGCAGAAGCACTTCGCTTATTTCCAGACTTTCCAGACTCTCGTCTCCATGAGAATAGTTTCCTGAGTCCTGGCTGGTCTGGGAATTGTACTTCTTGCAGTCTTCCTCCGTTTCCTCAGGCTCCTCTACCAGGATGACCCTTTCTGTGTTTTCAATGATGAAACATTTTTCAGTTTGTTCCTCAGAAGTGGAAAGTAGGAGATTCCCAAGTGACTGTTCAGAGAAATACTAATTTTAAAAAAGGAAGGAACAGAAATGGATTATTTACTATAGTAAATTAATTAGTTTCCTGGTTCTAACAGCTTTAGCTTCTTATGTCTATCATTTATTTTATTTTATTTTTTTATTTTATTTTTTTTTGGTTTTTCTCCGGTACCAGGAACCGAACTCACGACCTTGCGCTTGCCAGGCAGGCGCTTTTGCCGCTGAGCTAAATCCCCAGCCCATGTCTATCATTTAGAAAACGAATATTTTGGCATAAAGATGAAAAAAAATCAGCTAAGAACATACCAATGGCATTAGGAAGTCCAGGCAGAAATCATTAGTGAGTTCATCTCTCTCTTTCTTTTCTTTTTGAGACAGCTATGTAGCCGAGGCTGACCTTGAACTCACAGCAATACACCTGCCTCAACCTCTCAAGTGCTGGGATTACAGGCGTGGACCAGCTGATTTACATATTTTAAAACCTTTCTGGTGAGTCCCCAAAGAGCACCTCAGAAAGGCGCATGGTGCTGTGAGGACAGAGTGTGGGACAGCTTGGAAGAGGCTAGCAGGCCAGGGGCTGGGTCATGGACATTTTATTTTGAAATAATACAAAATGTTGCATCCAATCCACAGACACCCAGAAGAAGCACAAATCAGTAATAATGGCACTGTGGCACACGTCTGTAATCCCAGCACTTAGGAGGCAGAGGCTGGAAGACTGCCGTGAGTTTGAGGCCAGCCTAGACTGCACAGTGAGACCCCGTCTCTAAAAACCCAACCCAACCCAACCCAACCCAGAAATCATTTTCTTCCTGCTTGACCAAGAACATTTAGCTTTTATAACTAGCTAGTTTATTACAGTACTCAGGAATGATGTTCAAAAACTCAGGAGTGAAAGAGTAAAATAATATTTACCAATTATTTTGAGTTATACCTTTAAGTGCAAACATATTGCAGCTTTCCAACAATTCACCTAGAGGCCTCCAAACTCCAAAGCTTGAGGTCTTGACCACAGTGGTCTGCAGGCAACCCAAAACCTGCCCAGCTAACAGACTGTCCCCCCACCCCCCAACCCAGGCAAAGATGCCCTATCAGGCCTTCATCATGCAGTGCTTATTTTTGGAGATAGGATCTCGCTATGTAGTCCAGACTGGCCTCAAACTCGCAGCATCCTCCTGACCCAGCCTCCTGAGTGCTGGGATTACAGGTGCACACCACCATGACCAGCAATTTAGTGCTTTTATTTAACATGCTCTCGTCATAAAAGGGCCTGGCAAAAAACTGCTGTGTCATGAAATCAAACTCTTGATTTTGGTTATTTTACCTTCTGTGGCTTCATCTATGGAATATACTTTCTACACTGAGTGACTGAGTCTTTGTCAAGAATCACAAAAACATCAACTGTAAAACAAATGCCACAGTAGCCAAACCACCAGAACAATAGGTGATTTAAAACAAACCTTACTGTTCTTTTTTTTTGTTTTTGTTTTTTTTCCGGTACTGGGAATGGAACTCACAACCTTGCGCTTGCCAGGCAGGTGCTGTGCCACTGAGCTAAATCCCCAGCCTCTAAAACAAACCTTACTGTTCTACACTAGATTAAATGGCTGCTTCTAAAGTGAATTTATCGAAACTGAGGAAAACACCCAACCCACCTGTATTATTTTCTGTGTACCAAGAAAATTTATACACTGCTAAAATCAAACTTATTTCCTAGATGTAGACAGAGTAAAAGTGACCAACCTCAATACTGCAAGGAGGTTTAAGTGCTGGAAAAAACACGTAGTTGAGACATCTCAGGAGGATTTTCGCAACACAGAAGACTACTACTACCACCACTGCTAGGAGGGTGCAAATTCCAAGTGTTACTGCCCACACAGGAGGAGAAGGTCCTAAAAAGGCAAAGATGACATTTAGCATCAGTCCATGTTCTGACACACAAATGCACGAACGTCAGACTAGCTGTATGGAAGGAAACGTAACACCCACTAACCAATACCCTTAAGAGTATGTCTTAACACCGACTACGCAATAGTGGGCACTTGAGTTCACCCGGGGCACGCAACTAAGAGCTCTGAAAGGAAGAATACAGGATGCATATACGAAGCCTAACAGGCGCGTGGTCTCCAGTGACTACTCTACTACACTCAACACGCAGACTTGTCAAACTATTCTGTGAGTAAGGCTCCACCAGTCAGCTCCAGCAGCTACAAAATACAAGCTGAGACCACGCCACTCACACATGAAAAAAAGTTCACAACAGAACTACTTTGTTTCTGTACCATTAAAGATCATGCAAAAAACTAAAATGAGTATTTTTTATATGATGAAGAGCAACTGTTAAAGAAAATTAATGATGTGGAGCCCAGAGAGAGTACAAAGCATTAAAAAAAAAAGAAATACAAAGCATTAAAGATATTTTCGAGCTGTGTGTGGTGGCACACGCCTGTAATCTCAGCACTTTGGAGGCTGAAGCTGGATGACCGCCGTGAGTTCAAGGCCAGCCTGGGCTACATAATGAGACCCTGTCTCAAAAAATAAAAAAACCCACACCCCCCCAACAAACAGTAATTTCTGAAACTGAAGCACTTAGCTTGAAACTTTACTGTATTTTATTTTTTTGGCAGAAAGTTTACTTTTGATTCATATAGTTCATGAAGATACTATTCTGTTTTTTGTAGTGAGGAGGAAACACCCTCTAATTTTCAATTTTTCTTGAGCCCTGTTACGTTTTGTAATAGGAGACCCTCACCTGGCTTCGTCTTCTCACACACCGTAGCACTGAAAGCGCTGCTTTTGTTCCACTTGTCTTCCAGAAGGTACACGCTGGCTTTGACGCAATATAGTGTCAGTGGTTGCAAGTCAGGGATGGTAATGTCAGATTTTTTTGCTATAATTATTCTCTGCAAAATAATGAAATCATTGATAAATTTTAGTAACATCAGAAATCAGGGGATATCTATTCTCTGAATTCTTTCACATTCAGTTTAAGCAGTTGGTATGTAGTTAAGAAATATATATTTATTTTAAACAACTCATTATAACTAAGTCAGAAAGTTCAAGATGCTGCTGCTAAAGGACATATCCCCAGGACTGCTCTAACCTAACAAGCACATGTTAGTTTGGCTTAATTGCTACTATGACAGAACGACTGACAGCAGGGTTTTAACCTCAAACTGCTTGTAATTGCAGAGATTGAGAGGACAAACTTTCCCCCTGGGGCACAGGACACGCACAGAGCCGACACGCGCTGCCTCTGCCCGCAGCACGGCCACTCGGGCTCCACCCTCTACAGCCCACGTCAGCGAGCGGGATGGGCACCGCACCCCATGTGTCTGCTGGACGACATTTCACCGAGCGTATCCTCTGGGAGGGTTGTGTGGGTGAACGCTTCAGTAATTTATGTAAAAAGCATGATAGGGTAAGATGGAAACTAAAACCTACTCAATCTTTACTACTTGTTAAAGCAATGTGCTAGCTATTCTCGTGTGACCCCTTCTCAAGCCATATGACATCCTTTTAAAGAAGAAGGATATTTTAGTCGCTATGATTACCACCACTTTAGAGAAGAGGAAACAGTGTCAAAGAGGTAAGGTGCCTTGCCTCAGATTAGTCACATGATTTGTTAGCATGGGACACAATTTCAGGTTTGTCTGACCTCAGGACAGCTGGAAACTACTTAATGGGCTCAGTTGGGCTACAGGACAGAATAGCCAGACAGCTGAAGTGGAAGCAGTCCAGACACTGGAATTTGCTTTCAATTTCCAATAGTAAATGAAATTACAGAATTTATCAACTTAAACACACAAGATTTTTTGTCTGTTTGTTTTTTTCTTCCGGTACCAGGAATCGAACTCATGACCTTGTGCTTGCCAGGCAGGCGCTGTGCCGCTGAGCTAAATCCCCAGCCCCGACACACAAGATTTTTAAAGGTTGATTTCTTTTTTTTGGTTTTTCTTCTGGTACTGGGAATCAAACTCATGACCTTGTACTTGCCAGGCAGGCACTGTGCCGCTGAGCTAAATCCCCAGCCCCAAAGTTTGATTTCTTGATTGTAATTCTACAAGGAATCAATGCAGTTATCTGATGTGGTATATTAGGTCTCACTGTGGTGTTTGAATTTTAGTGTTTAGACCAGTGTTTCTCAGCCCCTTTTTCCCTCATTGAGGCCTTTACCCCTCAAAGAGACTTCTTAGATAATTTTTTTCTAATTCCTCCCTCACCAGGAAAATTAAATATTAAGGAGTGAAGAGAAACTTTGGAGACATGCTTTCTTCCTGGAGGGCCATAAAGCATTGTGATACCTGAAGTTCTTTTGCCCCCTAAGAATAATCTTGTCCCCTTGGAGGTGGGACATTTGGCAGTGTCTGGAGATGTTTTTGGCTGTCACAACCAGAAGGGAGTGCTGCTGGCACCTGGCGGGTAGAGGCCACAGATGTTGCTATGCGTCCTACAAATACATGGTTTCTCTACTATGAAAACCCAAAATTATAAATAAATTGAAGAGCAAAAGGAAAGACAGATAATAAGAAACAGGGAGGTAGAACTTCTGTAAAAGGGAAGGGGCCTAAGAGATGCCGGGAGGTGGAAGGGGAGAGACGAAGTGGATGGAAAAAGAATTAAGATGTTATGCACACGTACCACTTCCCCACAATGAATGTAATCATTATGTAGTACAAATAAGTACCAATTTAAAAGGGAAAAGAAATTACCCTGCCCAAGGTCGTATGGGGTTGAGAAACCCCGGTTTAGGCAGACACGGGGAATCACATTAAAAATGGTTTTGATTCACAAGAGCTGGGCTCAGGACCTGTATTTTAAAAGCACACCGAGATCCAGATGCAGGGGATCCTGAATTCGACCATGCAGAACACGGAAAATGCTGGCTTTCCTTGTATTGCAAACAGTTGCATGGTTCATCACGGTCTTAAAATTTAACCCCCCCCAAATGTAAATTCAAGCTTTATTTACCCACATCAGAGTTATAACTCTAAGATACAAAATTATACTACCTTAAAATACCAAATGATACCACGCTGTCTTCTTACCTCAGTACTTGAAGTGTTTTCCCACATAATAATTTCAAAAAGGAGTGGGTAAAGTTGGTTCCTGGGCGCTTTGACGAAGACACGCAGTGAATCACTAGTGGATTTCAGGGAAATGACTGGAGGAGGCATGGCAGCTAGAAAAATGTGTAAAGGCGTAGCGTGCAGTGAGACATAGTATCTGATTAGAGACTGCAAAACAGTTTTAGAAACTTGCAACAAATCAGAGAATTAGAATCTCAAGCAATAAAACTATTGACTTACAGTACATTTCAATATTAACTTCTTTCTCTTCAGACCAAAAAGACGTGTTGTTTCCATCAGATGCTTGTACACGGAAAAAGTAACTTTTCTTCTGGAAAGCATCTTGAGGCAATACACAATATGTAGTTCTGACATTTTCACAGTTAATTATTTGTCTCCACTCATCTGCCTTGTCCCCAGGACTCAGTTTTGAATAGGCACTTTTAAGAAAATCAAATAAATAAATAAGCAAGCAAGCAAACACATTAATTCAGTAACTATATGCTGAGCACTTACAATAAGCCAGACATTCTGTTAGAGACTAAGGTCATAGAAACAGTTCCTTCGCTTGCAGGAAACTCACCACGCAGCAGAGGACACCCATACATCTAACATGTAAGGAAACCAAAGACCGCTCCAGAACGTGAAGGACGGAGGAGTGGTACTAGAAGGACCTCATACCAAAGTGCAAAACGAGCTCTTACACTTTCAGGAGTATTACAGGCTGCTTTTTTTTTTGGTTTTTCTCCGGTACCGGGAACCGAACTCACGACCTTGCGCTTGCCAAGCAGGCGCTTTTGCCACTGAGCTAAATCCCCAGCCCCCAGGCTGCTTTTTAAGACACTGTCATGATTAAAAACTTAATTATAAAAACGGTATTAAAGACAGGGGTGATGAATATTTAGAACTCATCCTGTCCTAGTTATTTTACTGTGCCTCACCATCTGTGTTCTTAAAGCTATTCACGTCAGTGGGGTCCACATGGTGGAAATATGCATGATGCTGTGCCACTGACGCACGATTTCTCAGGCTTCCAACGTGTCACACCCGCTTCTCCATCAGTCACAGTGCATGAGGCGCTGCAGGTGGACGAAGTAGGGTGAACGCACAATCAAAACCCCCTGGGCAAAAGATTGACGGAAAAGAACTTACTGGAGCCACTGAACTCGAAAGGTCACATTTCCATCTTCATAATCCCATTTCAGAACATAGCTCTGATTTTGAGCAGCAAATTTTACATTTTCTGGTGGAGGTAGCTTATGTTCAACTAAAAGTCAGAGAAAATATCAAAAAGCATGCATTTTCACTCTTGTGGTATTTATTTATGTCAAGAATTCTTAACAGCACAGACCAAATGATAAAAGGCTTATATTTTGTCATTATAAGACAACAGCTAAGTAAGTTATGGTGTGCAGTCACTCTGGGTAACACTATGCTGTCAGTTCAAAGAAGGTGGTAGACCTGTATGGACTGATACAGGAAGCCGTTCTCAGCATACTGCATCAGACAAGCCAGATGTAAAATATACACATCCAGCAGGAGCCTCTTTTTTAATTTAGTAACAACAAAACTTAAGAAACTCGCCATCTGTGTATACATGTCCATATATGCCCTAAAAAAGTATCAAAGGGTATATATAAACTGCTAGCCATGCTCATCTCTGAGAGTTGGGAGTAAGATGGCATGATAGGAATATTTCACTTTATATCCTTCTGTACTATTTGATTTTAAGAAATAAAGCATATTAAATTATAAGTAAAATAATAAACAGATCCTAGCTCCTATCCCTGGTTGTACTTTCTGGCAAGATATTAATAACTAAATACATCAGGATGCTTTCATATTATAACATTTCCTTTATGGACGTACACTTCTTGGAAGACTAACCATTCTACTAGCAACTCACTCCCCCCTTTTATGGATTCCGAGCAAATAAAAACGGATGTTTTTCATTGTAAAATATCTGAATTAATCTGAAATAGAATTAAGTTTCATTACTATTTACTTGAGACAAAAATCCCAAATATTTTTTGCTTATATAAATGTTGTTATAGTGCTTTTGCTTTACTATCTATTAAATCACTATACAAACATGAGTCAGCAAAAGAAATGCCAACATTAAATAGAGACATTCTTTGTTTAATGACTGAGTTCCACTTCCATGACCAGGTCATTAAATAAGAAACTCTATATAGTATGTACAACATTCTGTTCTAAATGTACAACATTCAGAACAAAGAAACGGCCAAGGAAACTCCAACTTGATGACTACTTTTATTTGGATAACTCTTATACGCAGCACTTAATGTATAACAGGATGTAAAACTACAGTACTATACTATACAGTACAATCAGCCAAAATTACAGTGCTGTACTGCAGGAGAAGCCATTATAAGGCCACATTGCCGCTCATGTTTCTGCCTCATAAGTCAAAATGTGGGCCGTAAGTCCAAGCTGCAACTCTAAGTCTTAACAGTCATTAAATGGTTAGGTCATTAAACAAGGAGCATCTGTATTGCCAATACATAGTTACTCAATCTAAAGCAATGGGACCTTACCTGTGGTATTTATACAATACACTGGACTATAGACACCAACTTTCCTGTCCCAAAGTAGTCTTGCTTTAACTTTTAAACAATAAGTCGTCTCTGATGAGAGGTTATAAATTTTATGTGTGTAATGCTTAATTTCGATCTGTTTCTGTTCCATCTTTAAAAAAGTACAAAGTCAAATTTTAGAAGTCATTCATCTTATTTTTCTCCACATTGAACAAAAGTAAAAAATAATGCTTACCTGTGCATGTGAAGAGTTTTCCCAGAAATCTAAGGTGAATCTAAAGCTTCCACCAACCATCTCCCATATAGAATGATCATCTTTTTTTCCAGGGCGGAAGAGGTGTACAATTATTGCTGTATCTTCAGCTTCTAAACGTACTTCTGGAGGACCGAGAAGAGCTGCACAAATTGAAACAAGGACTACGTAGCTTTGTTAACACCATGCCCGAACATTCCCTCCACAAGTAATTACTGTGAGTGGTGCACAGTAAAACAGGAAATTTCATGGATCTTGCACTCTAGAGGGTCATAGGGCAGAAAGTCTCAAATAAATAAATAAGTAAATAAATAAGGTGCTATGTGTGCCATAAAGAAAAATAAAGTAATAAAAGGGGTGAACAATGGTAGCGAGTGCCATTTTATGTAAGTTAAAAACCTCTTAGGAAGAAACATGCAAGCTGAGGCCTGAGCAAAAGGAAGGGCAGCCACGCAAATACCTAGCAAAAAAACTGCTCAGGCCAAGGGATGAAATGCAAAGCTCCTATGACAGAAATGAGCTTTATGTTTCCAAGACATTACGAGGGGGCTACAAAGGTGGCGAGTGGCTAAGAAAGAGACCAGAGAGGTAGCAAGGAGGCCAGGAGCTGTGAAACCCGCAGAGGGCTGAGACTGGCTGAGGATGTCACGGCCGAGTCAGGCTTTGGAAAGGTCGCCCTTGTTAGGATGGGCGGGGGGGGGGGGGGACGCGTAAGAAATCAAGTGAGGTGCGCAGGCAGCTGAGTAAAGAGCGAAAGCGGGGAAGGCTCCGATGCACTTTGAAGATGGCTCACGGAGAATGTGCCAGGATGCAAGGAACGCGGAATAGAGAGGTCAAAGGTGACTGTGGGCTCTGGACCGGCGCACATAAACACACACAAACTTAACGTGATCAAGTGAGATCAAGTGAGACGGTAAGGACTGCAGGGAACAGCTTTGAGGGGAAACGGTGTGCTCACCTGACAACTTTGAGATAGAAACCCTTCACTGTCTAAGGTGAGACGCTGGATGGAGCCGGTGATACATGCGGAAAGGTTGAGGGAAGGAATGGGCCACAGACAGACTGCAGGGAGTCAAGGGCACTCAGATGTATGGAAAGCCAGCCATAAGATGACCAGTGGGGCGAGTACAGAGGAGGTCGGACAGCTGGACCCTGCAGCCATTCAACACCCAAGTGTGGGGAGGAGAAACTGCCATTGCAGCGACCTGGGTGGACCCAGGAGAGCACTGTGCCCTGCAGAGCGGGGAGGGGAAGAGTGTCAAGACGACTGCGGACCCCGTGGATGCTACAGAGCACTGAAGCAGAAGGCCGGGGAATCACCTGCACTGGGAGGTCGCCCGTGACCTTGGGAAGACTGCAGTGCAGGGAGGAGGCACAGAGCTTGCATGGTGAGGGATAACGGGAACACAGGAAAAAAGCAGCAGAGGAGGGGCATTCGGGCCACTCTCTGTTGGCTTTTGGGACATTTTGGGGACAGAGTAGTGTCTTGAACACCTTGGTTTCAGGATCTTTTATAAAGAAACAATTGAGCCTCCCCGAAAGTGTCTGTGTATGTGGAGTATGTCTTTTGATATTCACCATATTAAACGTTAAAAATGACACAATTATAAACTATTTATGAATCCCTTCAAAATAAAAATGACAGGGGCTGGGGATTTAGCTCAGCGGCAAAGCGCCTGCCTGGCAAGTGCAAGGTCGTGAGTTCGGTTCCTGGTACCGGAGAAAAACCAAAAAAAAAAAGACAAACCCACTACACAGTTACAAACAGTTATCACTTTTTTTTTCAAAGTGAGAAAACTTAGAAGTGTGGTGCTGTTTTGTAGTTTTTTTCAAATCTCTTTAATGCCTGGGTTAATAAAGAAGATACGTAGATGTTAGGGCTGCATTCGGTGAGTTACCACATCATGCATCTAACAGCTTCCTGTGGAAAATTCCACCATCCAAGAGAGACAGAATGAAAGAGGCAGTTAAGTCTCAGAAAAACAACTCAGAATGATTTCTGAATGGTGAAAGTAGTTTTATCTTTGTGGATGCCCTGAAAAGGTCTTGGGGACCACACTTTGACACCCACTTTTTCCAGGAAGGCAGAAACCCGCAGCCACAGCAGGAGGTACATACAGGCTACAGGAAGTCTTTGCACTTTCTTTTTAAAGCTAGGAGATGTTATGTGATGTAAATGAATGGGCTTGAAAAGAGAACTGTTCTGGTAGTACTTCCTAAAGAACAGAATTCAGTCAGCACCTTTTCTTACCTTTCCGAAATGGTATAAAGGAGTCAATGTAATACCATGAAGAAGTGCTGTTTTCTTCTTCCGCTCTTATACGAAATTCAACTTCTTCATAAAAATTTAGCTTGGGTAGAAAGAAGCTGCATTCTGAACCTGTGATATGTTGACACCCAGGCAATTTTGTCCAATTATTCATCTCTGATCTTTGAGGCAAAAAAAAAAAAAAAAAAAGACCACACAAATGAATAAATGAGCAAATGCATCAATAAAAGTATCAAATACGTCTTTTATTTGGAAAGTTGTAAAGCTAGCTTAAGAAGTTATTTCCGCTACTTGAGTTAATGTCCTGTTAACATTTTCGTGGACAGATGCTCCCACTCTGTTATGATCCCTATAACCCAAGTTACTACTTATGAAATGCAGTAACTCAGACATACAGTTGTTACTTTTAAAGCTCAAAATCTTTTTATTGTACAATGTCACCTGTTTCAAAGAGGAGAAGGCTCAAAAGGACTAACAAGTGACAATATGGCAAGCATTTTTTTTCCTTTTTATATCAGGCATTTATAAGGGAGAGAGCATACATTAATTACATACAGTTTGTGTATATGTGCTACCAAAGTGTGCACCATAAATATAGTTACTGAATGGCAGAGTAAGCTACCATATTGTCACTACCATATTGTCACTAGAGAATATGGAAGTGATGCGGGGTTTTCCTGGTTATGAAGGCAGAGGTGCATTACTTGATCTTAAATCCCCTCCCCAAATCATTTGAGACAGGAGTCAGAGGACAAGTGTGGATTGGAAATAGGACCCAATGCGGCCATGGAAAAGGATACTACGCAGGAAACCAGCTACAGGGCTGTTCTGCTCTTCTTGCAGCTAAGAAACCCCCCTCCAGCCTCCAGTCAAAAACAATGCGGAAAACAGAACAACTACCAGGTAAGAAAGAAGCCACTGCATACTTGTGTACTAAAATGGGTAGTTGTTTTACATTAGCTGGTTCTGCTAAGAAAAGCAAAGTATCCTGTGTGACTTAGGTGCTCTACACATAAAAATAAATCTTTGCTGTAAGTCTTTCCTCCCTCCCTCCTTTCCTTCCTTCGTTCATTCGTTCCTTCCTTCCTTCCTGGGAACAAGGGTTTATATTTTTTTCTTCAATCAGATTTTATTGGTACACTTTAGATATACATAATGATCACATTCATTGGAGAATTTGTACCTGTACGTGGTATATTTTCTCCATTCCTCTACCCTCCCTTGAACCCCTCCTCCCCTCCTCATTTACAAAAGCTTTGTTTCCATTTTTTCCTTCTTTTTTTTTACTTTTTCCTCTTTCCTTGCTCCTCCCTTTCTGCTGTTGCCCTCCCCATTGAATAAAGCTTTCTTTCAGTATAGAAACAATAGGCAATTAAGCCAAATATGTAATCATCTCCATAATGGGCTTTTTACCAATTACACAGGGAAAACCAACAGCCAATTTGATGATACTGTTTCTCCCTTTTTCTGAAAAGAAAGTAATTTACAGCCTTCCTGCTAGGAGAGTCAGGGATGTATGGCCCTAGGAGCTGTCCCTCCGCAGACATGGCTATTTTAAATACAGCTGTCTATCTAACTTCATGGGTGGTTGCATTAAATGAACTTCAATGGCACAAGCACCTGCCTGGCAAGCACAAGGTCCTGAGTTCGATTCCCGGTACCAAAACAGAAAAACCAAAAAAACAAAAACAAAAAAACCCACCACAAACTAAATGAACTTCAAGGAGGCAAAGAACTAAATGACCCATAAAGGAAAAGGAGATTTAGTGTTGGCTTTGGAAAACAAAGTTGTGTGACTTCTGAACTATTTTGGATTTCTGGATCTAATTCATTCATTCATTCATTGCTTTGGTACCAGCAACTAAACTCAGGACCTTGTGCTTGCCAGGCAAACTGAGCTATATCTCTGGCCCGCATTTCTGGATCTTATCTTTCTGTTGAAAGTTTAGGAATTGGATTTGATGATCCCTTTCTACTCTGTCCTGTGAAAAGGTTACCTGTCCTGAACAGACCTCAGCTGTAGTGTGGTTTCAGGGTTTCTTTTGCCTGCTTCAAAGCCAAATAACTCCTCTGCTTCCCGCTCTCCACAATTTTATTATAAACTCCAGAAACAAACAAATAAACAAATAAAAACTTACAATGCTAACATAAGGAGACGAATTCTCAGTGGAATCGATCAATCTGAAAAGTCTAACACACTGACATTAGATTCTACTTCCTAAAAGGGGCTGGGTATGGTGGCATGTGCCTATAACTCAGCTACTTGGGAGACTGAGGCAGGAAGGTTGGAAGTTTGAGGCTAGACTGGGAAACTTAGTGAAATGCTATCCCAATGTAAAAACTAAAAAGGACTGAGAAAAAAATAAAAGTTAAAAAAAGCCTGGGGGTGTAGCTCAGTGCAAGGATTCATTCCCCAGTAGTGTAAAGCAAACAAGCAGTTCAAAAGGGGCAGGGGCTAGGAGTGTCACTCAGGGGTAAGAATCCTGGGTTCAATCCCTTCCACTCCCCTGCACCCCCCAAATACCTGGGAGATAACCCTAACCCTAACCCCAAATTAAAACAGCCTTAATATGCTTCCAACCCACCACCACGCTTTCTGTCTTCTTTCCTGTCCCAGGAGTTCATCTTTTATTTTTTTTTTTGGTTTTTCTCCGGTACCGGGAACCGAACTCACGACCTTGCGCTTGCCAGGCAGGCGCTTTTGCGCTGAGCTAAATCCCCAGCCCCCGAGTTCATCTTTTATTAAACTGCTTTTGCATTTAAAGAAGCTACTGCAATAGGAGCTACTTTTACATTTTCTTAAAAAAATCCTTCATCACATACAATAAATAGACCAAAGCAGAATGTGATGTGAAATATGAATATGTAAGTGATGGAAGATTCATTTCACAGAACCAGTTAAACAATAAAACTTCATACCACCTTCGTCCCTCCTATTCACTGGGGCATTCTGAGAAAACAGAAGAGTGGTTGATTGCATCATAACCCAGTTTAGATTTGTTATAAGCACTGACATTTGAGATTGCATAAGTTCTGGAAGCACAGAGATTTTAACAATATATTTATGCATCTGTGTATCTTTTTTTTTAACCACTGGGATATGTCCTATATTTTGGGAAACACTGCATTAATAAGTACCTCTCCACTGCTGGTGTTAATCACTTTGTGACACTCTCCTGATCACATTATATATAGTTAGTTATTCAGTACTCAGAACAGTCTACTGAGTTACAGACTTTGGCGCTGGGCCCCATTACACCTGGGCCAAGTTTAAGCTTGCTGTTCCAGCTCATTTAAAATGAAGGACTTCTCTGCACTCTCACAAGTACCTTGGTCTGGATAATAAATTACATCTGGTCACTTCTGTTATCAACTCCACTGAACAAGTAAGGAAAATTAGCAGAGGATGGATTTGAATGCATGTGGCCAGCTCAAGTCCATACTGCACTGCACTGGAGCTGTTATTTCTCCGGCTTGTAGTGCGGCATATGCCCATAAGGGAATTGTTTATAAAGCCAGCAAAGCAAACCAGGAGTAAGGACACACTGAAATAAAGGGACTGATGCTGAAGTCAGAGTGGAAGGGTGAAAGAGCATGAACTGAAGAATTTAGCTTAAGCCAGAGCATATGAAAGCACGTGAGTATGAAAATGGCCTCTCTACCCTTTATGATAGGAGTATCTTTAAGTAAGGGTATCTGAAATAATCCCTGCTATACCTACGTCAGTTGTTGAATAAGAAAATTGTGAACTAAGGCAACGAACAACTTTTTAACAAACCTTACAACTCAACTTAAAGAAAATTCCTGTATGAATACGTGTGCCCATACAGAGACACATACGTAATTACAAAACTGAGATTAGCATCCTAGTCTTAGTAGCAAGTGGGCAACAGTGGTGGCAGACCAGCTGGAAAATGCTTCTGTAGGTCCTAATGCTGTTTTTCTTCACCACCTGCTCCTTCCTGGACAGGAGGCCATGGTTAGCAGACGGGGCACCAACCCCAACCAGGTGACAAAGGGCTCGGCTTTCTGAGCAGTGTCCCCTCAAGAACCCTTCCTCCTGTAGCTTCCTGCCTGCTGGTCCTCTTGGCAACTACGAAACAGAAAGTAAGCACTAAGGAAGAGCTGCCGAATCTCCATGAACGTTCAGGCTGTGGGAATGCAGAGCACCATCAGTATACTGATGCTTATAAACTGTATGTAAAACTAAGATACTTCGCATGAGGGAGACAATAGGAAAACCTGAGCATCAGTGGCTGGGTAGCCTATGCTAAGGCCCAGGCTAGGTCTTTCAGGATACTGTGCACATTCTCCGGATATGCTCTGGTTCAGATGCTAATACATGTTTTTGTGAGTCCAGAACACCCGAGCAGAGAAGGTGTGGCAACAAGTGTGGAATGGAACAGCTGTCTACCATCTTGCTTCGAAGATTAGTTTGCCCAAGTCTCTGTAGAAATGAAGTTACAAATATTCTGTAAAACAGACAACATTTCTTTTTTTTTTTTTATTTTTTGGTTTTTTTCCGGTACCAGGAATCGAACTCATGACCTTGCGCTTGCCAGGCAGGCGCTGTGCTGCTGAGCTAAATCCCCAGCCCCTAACATTTCTAATAAATGGATAAAATGAAAATTTCCCAAACCTGGAAAGAAATTAGGGTGATAAAATTATAAAAATCACCCCGATCATTTAGCAAATCTGTAACAGGGTCACCTACGTTATATAATCTGCTGAGAACGTCACATTCCCGACAGACTCATGGCTCCTGTTCCACTTCAGGGTAAAGTCATCGTCTATGATGGAGACCTCTACATCCTGAGGAGGTTTTAGACTTGTTCCATCTACAAAGGCAACAAGAAACAAAATATTTATATATACATTGTATGGATATTTAAAAAAAGTCAGAGTACATTTAAATATAGCAGATTAAAGAGTACATTTAAATATAGCAAAGTATGAGTTGTGAACAAAACAGTGAATGCTTAAATTAAAAAAAATTATTTAAGTAAAAGATACAATGCCATTAATCACCCTCAAAATACTATCCCTCACATCAGACACATGTATTCCATCATTCTTGCCACTCTGTGGAGCAGTTTTAGAAGTCCTCTTTTGTTGAAGACCATTATGAAGTGGTTCAGAGCAGGATTTAAATTAGCCAATGGGATTCTCCTGTTTACCTGTGAGTCTGTCCAAGGCCTATGCCCCTTGTCTGGAGATGGGCAGCAGACTCATAGTAAGTGAACCTCTATGAGTCACTGGTCCTGACTCAAATGACAAGACAAGGCCATAGCTAAGGACATCTGGCTCCAACCTCAATTAACTAGATAAAGACTGCAGCTGCAGGAATCTCACTCCTGCAGTGAAGGCCTTTTTGGAGAAGGAAGGGTCCTGCCTAGATCCCTGAATTTTCTTCAGTATTCCCCTCTTTGTTTGATAACTAAATAAATATAGGCTGCCTAGAGAAGTTCTGGGTGTTAGCCCTCAGAGAATCTCAATTCTGTTAGAGGGTTTTGAGCCCCCTGGCACGCTAAAATCATATCACTTGTCTCTTTTATTTAAGCCTTCACCGTCCACTGGTTTGGGAGACTATGGGCCTGATCAGTCCGCAATAACTAAGTAATAATATTAACCTGGTACTCTTTCATGAGTATCTTGTCATTGTGCTGCTGTGGTTACCTCAATGCCCTGAATTGATTCAAAATGTTTACCTTTCACGGTCACTGTGAGTTTGGGGAAGAGTCAGAAGTTGCATGGGGCTAGATCTTGTCCACAAGGTGGATAAACACACACAGTAATGGCTATATTTCACAGAAATTGATATAAACATTTGACCAATGAGGGGCGATCAAAAGCTACTGTGAATGTTTGGATTTAAAAAAATGTATTACAGTAAAAGACATACGCCATTAATCCTTTTCAAAATACTTGCCCTCACTTCGAACACTTATGATTCTTGGTAATGTGGTTTTTTACTGTACTTGTTAAAAATATTCCAACACTCACTGTATTCACTTATCACCCACTGTATACAGTAGTCCCTCCTTATCTGTGAGAGTGATGTCCCAAGACCTGGGAGTAGATGCCTGAAAACTGCAGGTGCAACTGAACCCTAAACACACTGTTTTTTCATAGTGTATGTCTTTCACACACACACACACACACACTCACAGACACCTGTGGTAAGGTTTAATTTGTAAATTAGGCACAATAATACATCAACAACAAAAACAAATAAAAGAACAATTATACTGTAATAAAAGTCTGTGCTTTGGGGCTAATATCAAGCTTAGAAAGGGTTACTTGAACACAAGCACCAGGAGAGTGCAGCCGTTCACCATGGAGACTTGGGACAAAGGGGCAATTCTGACGCTGGGCAAGACAGAGTGAGAGTTCATCACCATACTCCAAATCCTGCACAGTTTTAAACTTATGAATTGCTTATTGCTGGAATTTTCAATTTAGTACTGTTAGCCTGTGAATGACTGCAGCAAAACTGTGGATAAGGGGGACCTGCTATATGAAAACATCTAAAAGCCTTACACAGGTAGTCTGCTAATTCTACTTCTGTATCTGAGAGAACTGGAAAAAGATTATTTTTCCATCCATACAGAGTGTTGTCTTTTAACTGGAAAAAAAAAAACAAACCCTTCTGTACAAAAATAGAGCCCTTTTTTTGGTTTCAGAAGTGATAATGATGTAATGGATACAAATCTGAACTAGTTTAACCACCTCAATTTGCCCTCACATTTTGTTCAGATGTGAGGTTATGATCTTTTTCCACTAACACATCAAGACTCAATTTTCCTGTCTGTACCTAGGGATTTCTGTTGATGGCCCTACCTTCTTCTTCTTCTCCCTTTCTTTTCTTTTCTTTCTTTATTTTAACTTCTTACTTCTAACACAAATCTGCTATCAGCTGGATTACCACCCCTCTCAGCGTTCCTTTCTGGACCCTCCAATCTGCAGTATACTTCTGTCTCTGACAACATGGATCCTCCAAGGTCTAGCCCAAGTTCAGCCCCTTTCAGAAAACCTTCCTTGAATACTGCAACTCATGTTGCTCTTGCTGGTCTTTGAACCTTCTCAACTGTACCACTCAATCTCACACTTAAGTAGGTGTACTCAGCTTCAAATACATGTTGAGTGCGAGATGTATTTCTTTTCATTTTTTAACAGTGTGGTATCCTTGTGTAAATACCTCACTGTTTCTCTGGTGTGAGAAACCAAAAGTGTAAACAAGAATTAAAATGTGTAATAGGTATTGTGAAACAGGAAGAAAACGTCCAAATGGGGAACAAAGGAGGGGGGAGGGGGAAGTGAAAGAAGGGAAAAGTGAAAAAAAAACGAGAAAAGAAGGAAAAACTGGAAACAAAGCTTTGGTAAATGAGGAGAGGAAGAGGGGTAAAAGGGAGAGTAGGGGAGAGGGAAATAAGTTATATCATATCAAGTTATATCATATACAGGTACAAATTCTCTATGATGAATGTGGTCATTATGTGTATCTAAAATGTACCAATAAAATCTGATTAAAAAATAAGTAAGTGTGGTAAAAAAATACAGAAACATGAACTGTTGTAACCATTACACATACCGTTCAGTAGTATTAAATATACTGATCAGACTGTGCAACTGTCATTACCATCCATCTTCACAACTCCTTCCAGCTTTGAAAACTGACGCTCTACACCCACTGAACAACAACTCCATCCCCTCCTCCCCCAGGCAACTGCCAGCCACTGTACTTTCCGTCTCCATGGTTTCGACTGCTTTAAAACCTCATAAACATGGGACAATGCAGTATTGCCTGTGATCAATTTATTTCACTTACCAGAATGTTCTCAAGGTTTATTCATGTTGTGGCCCATGTCAGAATTTCCTTCTGTTTAAGGCTAACAGTATTCCACTGAATGTATAATCTGCATTTTGCTTGCCCGTCCATCCACTGATGGACACGTGATTGCTCCCATGATTTAGCTATTGCAAATAAAGCTGTGATAAACAAGGATGTGGCAATAGCTCTGTGAGAACATTTTCAATTTTTTTTAAAACCAAGAAGTAGAGTTGCTAGATTATACAATAACTCTATATTTAAGCTTAGGAGGAACTACTGTACTGTTTTCTACAGCAGCTGTGCCATTTTACATTTCCAAAGTGCACCAGGGTTCCAAGAGAAATCTCCACATTCTCACCAACACTTGTTATTTTCTTTTGATAGTCATCCTAGTAAAAAAGTGAGGTACTATCTCACTGTAATTCCAATTTGTAGCTATCTAATGTTAGCAATATTAAGTGTATTTTCATGTGCTTACTGATCATTTGTTTATCTTCTTTGGAGAAATATCTATTCAAGTCCTTTGGCTATTTTTGAACTGGGGGATTTTGTTACTGTTGAGTTTCAGAGTTCCCTATTTGTTTAATTCTTCATCAGATATATGATTGGCAAATGTTTTCTCCATTTTGTGAAATGCATTTTTACTACCCTGATAATGCCTTCTGTTTCCTTAGTCATCTTTTGTCTCAGGTATATGTAATCTGCTGCCCACGGGCCACTTGCCCTTTTTATAAATGTTACAATAAAAACATAAAAAAAGGAAGTTTGGCAACTTATTACATTGACTATACTGTATATACTATATATATACTTATATATACTATACTTGTATATACTATAAGTATATATAGTACTATATATAAGTACACTATATACTATATATACACATATATTATATATAAGTATACTATACACTTATATAAGCATACTATATATAGGATATACACTACATAAGTATATATAGTATATATATACTATATATACTGTATATAAGTATATACTATAAGTATATATAGTACTATATATAAGTACACTACATATAAGTATATAATATAAGTATATACTATACTTATACATTGACTATACTGTATATTTTACTATAGCCCAAGACAATTCCTCTTTATTCAGCTCGGCTCAGGTAGCCCAAAAGACTGGACACCTAGTTTGTTCAGCTAGACTTTAGCTGCACTATACATTTGGGGAAGGGGGTACTGAAGTTTCTATTATTATAGAACTGTTGATTTTCCTCTCAATTTTATCAGTTTTGGCTTCATATATTTTGATGGTTTTGAGACTTATGTAAAATCTCAAAAAATTTATGTAAAATCTCAAAATCTCATAAATCTTTATAATTGTTATTTTTTTTGTATTGAACCTCTTACTAATATATAATGTCCTTGTTTATGTCTTGTAACCTTTATTGTATGAAATAAGCATTTCCAAAGAAACTATACTCTGGCAGAACTCTTAAAGCAAGTACTAGAAATGGACAATTTCTTCCCCCCGAAAAGAGGTAAAGCACCATCTGCCTGTATAAGGCACTGGGAGGCCTCAGATAAGGCCACTGCGGGGCCTTACGAGACAAGCCATTACCTGTGGTCTGATGTATGTGACCCAACAGTCTCACGACAGTTAGGTAAAAGAGGACATCCCTGACCTGACTAAGAATGCAGTAAGATGGTAATTCAGTCCAGCGGTCAGAGACTCCATGCTTTATTTTAATGGGCCTATGCAGAACCTCAGTGTATTTACTGAATGTGTTGATTTACGACTTTCTTTGCTCTGTGGCTATAACAGCTCATGTAACCCCTTCTATGGTGCAATGTATCATTTAGAGTAATGTGAATCCATATTCCCAGGCCATAGTCACTCAGATTTGACTCAGAATAAACTATTTCCTTATTCTCCTTTACAACACAGTTATTTTGCACGGACAAAGTCTATTTTGTCTGATATCAGTATAGTCTTCCCTGCTTATCCAAGTCTTCTTTGAGTTGAGCTTTTAATAAGACTCAAGTTTCAAAATAGTTACATCAGTCACAATTATGCTGGGGTAAATTGTTACCTATTGGGGAGACAGATTCCTGGTACTTTCTACTCCAGTCTTATTTTGTGAATCCTTCAAAGACATAATTTTAAAAACTGGTTCTTTGTGTAAAACATAGAAATACAAAATTCTCCTTTCAAATGTAAGGACGTACCATCAGGTTTCCCTATACACAAGGCAGATGGCAAATTTCTCAAGGGTGGAGTCTGTATAGCTTCCTATTTAATTTGCTATTTTTGGAGTACTCCAATTAACACTGGGCTCACAGGAACTTTTTTTATTTTGCAGTGAAGGAGTTCAAACCCAGGCAAGTACGTACTAACGTACATCCCTACCCCAGAACTTAAGTGTCACAAAGTACTGGCCCTTCATTTTATCATTTATAATTTTTTTTGACTTTTTTTTGGTACCTGCAATCGAACTCAGGACCTCACACTTACCAGGCAGGCGCTGGGCCACTTAGCTAAATCTCTAGCCTCTATAATTTAACATTTTTAAGGAACAGCTTTTATACTTTTTTATGGTTCCATAGTATTTCTAGTTTTTATTTCTGCTTCAGGGCAATCATATTATTTCCTGACAGACTACAAAGGTCTTCACAGAGCTTTCTTTATTGAGATGTCTTCCAGTCTGATATTATACAGGATGGAATCAAAGGAGAAGAAATTTCCTGAAAAGCAAATTTTTCCTTTTAAACATAAAGAAGTACCATCAGGTCTCCCCTCCCTCAAGTTTTCAATTTCACACTCAAGATTCTCTGAAACTTCATCATTGAACATACTTCCACATCCCTTATGTATTGTTGTTGTTTTTGAGACAGGGTCTGGCTACATACTGTAGGGTAGGCTTGAACTCAGTCTATAGCCCAGGCTGGTATGGTATGCATGGTGATCCTCCTGCTTCAGCTTCCCAGTGCTGGGATTACAGCTGTGTACTGTCATGCCTGGCCCATATATTTTAAATCTGGCTCTCATCCTATTTTCTGGAATTTATAGATTCTGTGTAGCCAAAAGGTATAGAGGGATCAACAAAAGATCTGATGGCACTCAGCGTATCTACAGTATGCTGTTCAGAGTATTTTACTCTAGTAATTATGGGCCATCACTGAGGAGAAGACATTGATAGGGTAGAACTAGCGATGTCTTTAGGCATGCAGTCCTGTTGTGAAGGGAAGGAGACCCTGAAGCCAAGGGCATAGAAGACCAATCAAAATTGATTAACAAATGGACAAAGACTTGGAAATAAGGGCTATTGAGCAAGAGCTCACCTTTCACAGATTCTTCTGTTAGTATTAGCAATCACTTTTAATGATAGTTTATTTCACCTTGTTAGCATATAAAATGCATAAAGGGGGATTTATTTATACTTTTGGTAGCCTCTCATCTATCACATTCACTTTGATGGCCAGCAGAGCTTACTATCTTTTTAATGTGTGATGTACATGCAAACACATGCATCTATACAAATATAAATTAAAAATGCCTCCCATACTTTGGGCAGCTTTCTTAGTCTAGAGTTCCAGAATTGTACTTGTAAGTTAAAAAGTATGAATATTATGACTTCTGAAAGATAAACCAACGTAACAACATTTCAAGTTTACGTTGTCATTTAGTGTTGAATATTATTATTCCATTGGGGAAAAAGAACATCAGTTAACTAAAAAATAACGGATAAGTAGACCCTTAACATGGAGTCATTAAAATTTTACATTGTTTGGTCTTAAGGAAACAGTCCAGTCTGGAAAAGCATAAGGGTCTGAGGCCAGACTTTCAGGCTATCACTTTCCATTCAGCCACTAGCTCACTATATGGCCTTAGCCAAGTTACTTAATCCCAGTGCCTCAGTTTCCTCATCTGTAAAATAAGAATAATAGTTCTGAAAGTAAAATATTTAGATTATATATTGGCATACAGCGAAGAGCTTCATACAGGCTGCCTATAAATTATATTTCAGCACCTCTCTAGTTTAAAATGGATTTCTTAAAGTCAATTTTACATGAAGATTCTGCGGTAATTCTTTTTACACTGAAGCAAAAATGAGTTTAATGCAAATTTTTCATGAATAAAAGATTTCAAAGAAATGACCGTGGTTGTACTAAGACCCTAGCACCCATACACTAAACAGTGTGTGAGGAATTTGAGAAGTAGGATAGGAGCATGGCTTTCTAGGCAACAGTTAAATACTTTGAACCCATCATTATCCACTCTCACAGACCTCCTGAATTCCTTTATCTGGATGCGAGACACTGCTTCTCCTTGGGCGCCCGATATCACTACAAAATTATCTCTCTCCTATCAACTTTATAGAGCAGCTGCACCCCAGCTAGGAATTATGAATAGCAACAAACTAGCTTGGTGGCTGCCTGCCTTTATATTTTTATTATTCTTTTTTATTAGACTATACCCGAGGGCACAGGGAATTTTTTATTAGACTATATACCCCAGGGCACATTCCAGAGGGCAAAGGAAATTTCTGCAACACGAATTTCACCGCTCCGTGGGGCGGCGCAATTGTTTTTACATTGAGGAAATGCATTGCCGGCCTTGTTTATCATCAATCTGCGAGCCCAAGCCGCAGATTTTTCGGAAAGGTGTAAAGCTGCTCCGAGGTTCCTGCACACCCACCTTCCTGGAGCTGGTCGGGGGCACCGGGCTTGGCCCCAGGGTTCTGGCATGCTCCAGGCAGAGGTACCCCGGGTCCCACGCAAGTGATGTGGCAGGATCTACTTCCCCCGGCGCGATTTTCGAGTCCGCAGCCGTTTCCAGCCGCGACCACGGACCCCAAAACCACCGCGGCTCAGAAGACCCGAGGTTTCCCAGGAATGCGACAGTCCCCTACTCACTGCCCCCCGCTGCTTCCCAGGCATCCTCGGGGATGCGGGAGCCCTGGAGCCCCGAACCCCGCGTCTCTCACCTGCGGCTGCGCGTGACGCCCACGACACCCCGGCCACCAGCACCAGGGCCGCGGCTCCCAGCACGGCGAGCATCGTCTCGGCGGCAGCCACCACTCACATCTTCTGGCGCGAGTGGGGCCTCCGAAAATCCTTGCGCCCGCGCCGTCCCTCACGATGGGACCACCCTCCACTCAGTGGAGGGCCCAGGAACAGCAGGCAAACCCGCCCCCTCCACTATGGGGCTGGGACCGCCCGCCTGCCTTTCCGGGAAAGCCGCTCCCGGCGTGAGGCTGCGACTGCGGCTCTAACCGGGGCGCCTCGCAGTGCGCCTGCGCGGGCTCTGAGCCCGTAGGCCCCGCCCCCCCCGCAGTCACTTCCGGCCCTCGGCAGGCGGGTGTTCCCCGGTGGGCGGGTGTCTCCGGTGGGTGGGTGGTCGTGCTTTTTCCGCCTCGGGGCCGTGTCCAGCGTCCCTGACTCGTGCTCTCGCAACGTGGCGCTGGGAATCCCCCGAGGCTGAGGAGCCAGGGACGCTGGAATGAGCGAACTGCCAAGTACTTTTTTGTTTTGGTTTTAGGGTCCCTTCCCCCGCTACTAGTGATTGAACCCAAGATTTTCCGCACTCATTTATCTCCCTAGCCCTGTTTTATTCTTTTTATTTTGACACAGGATCTTGCGGAGTCGCCAAATTCCCCAGGCTGGACTCCAGCTGAGAATCCTGCCTCAGCCTCCCAGAGCGCTGGGCTTGCAGGCGTGTGCCTCCGTGTCTGCCTGTCCAGTGCTCCTTGCAGGTTGACCTTGCTGAGGAGCAGGAGGGCTGTCTCTAAGTTGTTGTTTTTTTTTTCTTTGACCTTTATCAGTAAATAATTTGAGCCTGCCATCCCAATAGTTATTTATCTACATACCTAAATAATAAATTATGGACACAATATATGCAAGATGAGAAAGTATGAGATGACCGACCAAATACTTAGCTGTTACTTATGACAACTAAATTATTAGTTACCAATTATATGGCAAAAATGAGTATCTGTAAAGGACAGCATGACTGTAAAATCATCTTTAGGGTGTAGTTTATATACCATGAAGTTCACGCATTTTAACTGAACACTATTTTTTAGTCTGTTCAGTTAGTTATTAGGCCTTGTTTTAAAAAATCGGCTTTTCATTAAGTGATTTTGTGAGCGGTTATATATGAGTCCAAAGAGAAGAGGAAAATTCCTGGTTACAGTTACTAAATCATGCTTATTTTTAAGAGCTTTCCTAAAAAAAAAAAATCCTTGTCTTAAGATTTTCATTAAAATCTCTACTTATTTGCCAACAGTTCTGGCAAAGTACCGTAGTTGGAATGGATTCATTTTTATTTTTAGAACAATGAGCTGAAACAACAGAAACATTTCATTTAAAATATTTTCAAACCTGTTGGAAATTTCTACTTTCTAGAGTGGCAACTAGAGTTTTCATAGATATGGTGACTTTTTTTTTGGTAATAAAATTACATAGAAACATCTTAAAATGCAAGGGATTCTTTTGACTCTTACTTCCTTGTCAGAAAAAGGCATACTCTCCTGAGACAGAAGACATATATTCTAAGGTCTTACCCACTAAAGACTGAGATATCACTTCTCATTGCTGCTTTGCTAGGAGCATATGGGATGTGTGCTTCCCTTACTCCCCTACTCTTACTGCAAGTATTCTAGACAAGTAAGCTAGGCAGAAATATAGTAGGCCGTCAGATGAGGCTGGACCCTCAAGGGAGTGGGTGTAAAAGATGAGAATCCATCGGGACTGTGGCTGGAGGCACAGCTGAAGATTAAAGTCACAATGGTTAGTTTTACATACTTCCCCAAGGGGTGAACTGAGGTTTGGGGTTATTGGTATCACTTTTTTGAGATTTCCCATGATCTCATTAGGGGTGGGCCATCTTCTCGCAGCTACCAAGACCACTAAGATTAAGACAGACAACTAAGACTAAAGACGAAACCAAGACATTATCAAGACAAGACTAAGGGCTGGGGGTTTAGCTCAGTGGCACAGCACCTCCCTGGCAAGCACGAGGTCGTGAGTTTGATTTCCTGTACTGGAGGGGTGGGGGAAAAAGACAAGACTAAGACATTATCAACCAAGGTTAATGATGTCACTCATGTACCCTTGCTGTCATTGGATCAATGCTGTATAAGCAACTATCTTTGCAATCTTATTGGTTGACCATAATTTTGACCTATGTTGTACCTGCCTCATGATTTTGCTCTATAAAACTTCTTTTGAGAAGTGGGCTCCTTGGCAACCCACACAGGGCCCCTCCTGTCTCTCAGGAGCTATTCCTATTCTTCATTCCTCATTCTTATTCTCCATTTCTCTTCTCCAATAAATTTTCCTACTCTTAACATGCATTGCTGTATTATCTAGAAAACTTAATCTTTTGATGATGACCAATGTGAACATATTACAATAATATATTTTGATAACATTTATTGGGGTGTCTCCCATAAGGCTATGGAGATCACTGGGGCTTCTATTAATGAACAAAGGATAACTTCTGTCTTAGTTATGTTTCTCTCACTGCTGGGACAAAATACCTGACACCCAAAATTAAGGAAGGAAAGGTTTATTTAGCTCACAGTTTGTGGAGGTTTCAGTCCATACTTGGCTGGGCTCCAAGGCAGAGTGGCACATGGCACAGGGCAACAGTTTATAGTGGAGGAAACAGCGAAAGCAGCAAGAGCAAAAGGGAGGAGCAGCCGAAGACAGCCTCTTTCCCTCCCTTACATTGTATGCAAGCTACCTGCCCCAGGGTAGCTATAGCACTCACACCCATGAATCAGTCATAAACTCTAGAAGCCCAACTCATGACTGCATGAGGCTTTGGAGGGACATCCAGACACAAACCATAACAACTTCCCAGGCAGATGCTCCTTTATTCACCAAAGGGAACCTTGACCAATAATTTTCCAAGCCCAAAATGGACCTGTTTAGTTACCATAACAAATTTCTAATGACCTCTGAGAAGACCAATTTTGATATCAAATTGACCGGGTGGCAACCCACATGGAAGCGTGCTTTTAAATCTGTAACCCAAGTTAAATTTTGAACAAATGATCCAAAAATGCAAAAGAAAAAAGAAAAGAGAAAAAAATTGTTGAGCTCAAACAAAAAACAACTGTTAACTGATTGGCCAAATGGACAAACAAACAAGTACACAGCTTAACAGATTGAACACACAAACATCTTATAAAATCAGTGCACTCAAACTGACCAAACTGAATTACAGTAACTCTTTTACAATTTTAGAAGTTTGTAATTATAAATAGACTAGTCAATTATTTGTAGGTCAATTAGCAGAGATCTCTTATAAGGAGAATTTGGAAGGTATAAAATCTTTTACCTATAGTTAATATATAATTTTTGTATTTTATTTTGTCTTAAGAATACTGGTAACTTTTGTATCCCTTTCTTTCATGTAGCTTTCAGCTCAGTTATCTCTATACACTCTGTCACCTATTCAGACCTTTGATCCACATTTTGATTACCATTTCCTGGGCATTCTGGGTCAATTCCTTTAATTGGCCCCAGGTCAGATCTAGCCCCATCTTTGTCTATCAGCTGTGGCATGGTCTCCAAGGAACCACTGTCATAGGCCTGAGCATCAGTTTTTTTTAGCATCAGTTTCTTGAAAGGTGGAATCAGTGCCTTCTCCAGGTCTGGGTTCATAACACAGCTGGACAGCATGCTGTGGAACACAGATAGGCCGTTCAGCATTTTCTGGAAAAACACAAGCATATTCTCTACCTCAAGTAAGTTGTGGGCTGGGTCCCTTCCATTGTCCAGTATTAAGATCTTTCTAAAGGACACTTCCCAGGCTCTTTTCCTGTATGTGATTGTCTTTTTGCTGCTGTAGTCCAATCCCTACAGGATTGGACAAGACTAAGACATTATCAACCAAGGTTAATGATATCACTCATTAAAAATGTTTAATAGTATTTATAATTTTAATAGGATTTAAAGTGTTAATAGTATATAATGCCAAGTGTTTATAGTATTTATAATTTTAATAGGATTTAAAATGTTAATAATATATAACGCCAAGTGAAATCTATTATGAGGTGTAAATTTTGTAGGAAAGGAGTCTCCCTTTTGCTTTTGTAGTTGAATTTTGAGCATAGCGGGCATGCTCAATAATTCATTGACCTTGAGCCTCTATAAAGAATTCCTGTGGTAAGGGAAATATGAAAAGTTTTACAAAATGTTTGGAAGGTGGCACTTGTATAGGCTGTGCCACTGTCAGTCTTAAGTGCCCATGGACAGCCAAGGGTAGTAAAGGCATCCAAGCAGTGAGCAATGACATGTTTAGCCAGTGCACCAGTGTGGCAGAAGCTGAAATAAATCCTGAGGGCTGAAGATATAGCTCAGCAGTGCAACACCTGCCTGGTAAGCATGAGGTCCTGAGTTTAATTCCCAGTACCAAAAAAAAAAAAAAAAAAAAAATCCTGAGGAAGTATCCACTGAAACTTGGACCCAGTACAGAGAGCCAAACTCAGGAATGTGAGTGACATCCACTTGCCAGAGACGATTGGGGTATAACCCTAGGGGATTAACCTCCATAGAGAGTGAGGGGAGATGTCTTATGCATGAGGAACGTTGTTTAACAATTTGTTGAGCCTTTTCCTGGGTTAAATGGAACTCTTTATGCAAGGCAGAAGTGTTTGATGGAAGGTAGCATGAGAGACAGAAGCTGGTTGAATGGCATTTGAAGGAGTAACAGTGAGAGTAGCCAGCAGTCTGTCTATTGCAGCATTTCCCTCAATGAGAGGCCCCAGCAACTGGGAATGAGAACATAAATGACCGATGAAACAGGTGACATGGCATGACTGAATGACAAATTGGGGAGTGTGAAATAAATGAAAAAGATCTTCTTGGTCAGTGTATACAGTTCAATGTGGCACACCACACCACAATCATAAATGCTGTCTGAAAAGGGGATAATTGGAGGGGATAAATGATCTTGCAAGGCTCATATATCAGTCTGTAATTCAGTCTTTTGTGCAGAAGAGAAATCTGTATCTTATATTTGGGCACCCAGGAATCCTGCTTGATGCTCCCGCCTATGATTGCGGTGCCTGCCTATGGCTGTGGCTTCCATCTCCAGCACCCCAAACCCTGGGGATGTGGTAGTTGCTGCCTCTGCAGCCACAGCTGCCATTTTTTTTAAAACAGGAATTTATAAAAGATTTATAGCAGCACAAAAAACATACAACAGTTACATATATGACTAATAAAATATGTGCAGTGTCAATATCTTGAAAACTAAAGAATTGACATAAGAAATCAAAA